TGTCTTGTCATCTTCTCAGGGTATCTTGCTCCCAGGGCCTCCCTGGTATCTTGCCTCCCTGGCATGCCAGCATGCTTTCCTGGTTATCACCAGACAGTAGGAGACACTTTCATCTGTTTCCAGTGTCACCTACCTGAATAGCTCCTGACATGATCTACTCTGCTGCCTTTTAGCTACTCTGGAAGGTGTGTTGGGCAGTGATTTTTCATGGCAAGGTGCCTTGGGCCCTGCTTAGGGATTTGCCACATTTGTTGGTCAGGAATATACCAGGGATATCTATAGAAAATCATAACTCACTAATGTCAGGTCAGATTAGGGTTACATGACTCATACATTTATGTATGCAATGTACACAATTCTCTTACAATATATTTTAAAATACACTGGGAAGAAAACTCAGGCTTAATCCATTAAAAATTACATCAGAAAAGTTGCTTTTTTTCCCCCCTCTTTCTTCCATGTGGTGGGCTGACCTTGTTGGAATGCCAGGTGACCACCAAACCACTCTATCACTCCTCGTTCTCAGCTGGAACGGGGATAGAAAATACAATGGCAAATGACTCGTAGGCTGAGATAAGGCATTTTACCAGAACAAAAGTGAAGTTAGGGCACACACACACAAAGAGGGAAAAAAAAATTTATCCTCTGCTTCTTATCAGCAAATGATGTCTGGCCACCTTCTGGAAAGCAGAGCATCAGCACTTGGAGTAGTGGCTCCATAAGGAAAACATTGTAAATAAGGAATGCCTCCCCTTCCTTCTTTTTTGCTTAGCTTTTACATCTGAGCTGACATCCTATGACATGCATTATCCATTTGGTAAATTTGGACTAGCTAGCCCAGCTGTCTTCCCTCCCAGGATCAGTCATCAGATGGAGGGAGAAGGTTGGAGAGGGCTGTTGCTGTGCCGTCCCTGCTCAGCAGGACCCAAAGCACAGGTGAGTTACCAACACCTTCCCAGCCAGAGCTGAGCTTGCACCAGCCAGCCAGCACAGAGCAGAGCCTGGTGAAAGCTGCTGTGGGGAAATGACCCCCAGCTCAGCCAGAGCCAGCACATTGACCCTGCCCATTTAACTTGCCAAAGTTAACTTGCTTTCACTGAAATGATTATCCCATTCAGGACTTCATGTAGTCTCTACCTTAGTGAAACACAGTAACTTTTAGAGCAAGATTCTTGAAGATGTTCTTGTTGAACACGTTATTTCACCACAAAGCCCACTCTAGATTATCTCTTGGCATTCTTCTTGGTTAAATTAGATACTAGTTCTTTGGATCTGCAAATTACTCTCTGTTACGCTTTCTGCGCTCCTTTCAGAGTGCAGAATTTTCAGTTCTCCTGACTGAAAAAATTAACTCACATCCTTTGACTTTGGTGACTTTTAGGCACATTTGTGTGTGAAGCAGACAGAAATCAGTATGTTAACAAACAGCTGTATGTGTAAGGGAGTAAAGTGCAGGTAGGTAGTTTGCTTGGCTGAAACCAGATACCATGACACTTGCTCCCACAGCAATTTGACCCTCACCTTTAGCCTTTCTCACTTCAGCTCCCAGCAGTGCAGCTGTCAGTCTCAGCTCCCCCTCTCCTCTCAGCCCTGTGGCCAAGGCTGTGCCTACACTCTGGATGCCAGAGCCGGCTCCAGACTCACTGCATGGTGTTAATGTGCTGCCAGTTTCCCAGAAAGGAGTTGATCCCATCACACGGCAGAGGGCTGAAATTGCTTAGGCAGCTCTTGTCCTGTAGATGCCCACTCTCCTCCTCTGAATTTGAAGGGTTCATGTGTGGGTATCTACACTGCAGATAGTGTTTCAATGTTGTGTGTGTAAAACGTGAGAATTGCAGTGGTTTGTAACCTAACAGGGCAAATGTGAACATAAATACCATGTTGTTTTAATTAGGCAATTGGCTAGATAGCACGTTTAAGCCTTTTAGAATTTTGTTCTGTAAATGCTCTCTGTTCATGTTTGCTTGACTGATTTAAATCTTTCTAGATCCTATAGAATCCTAGCGTTGTTTTGGTTGCAAAAGGCCAAGCAGTAATCTAACACTGTAGGCCCACAACTAAATGATGTGTCAAAGGGCCGTATACACATGATTCCTGAGCACTTCCAGGTACTGTGATTCCACCTCTTCCCTGGGCAGCCTTTTCCACCCTCTCAGTGAATAAGTTTTTCCCAATATCCAGTCTAAGCCTCCCCAGGCACAACCTGAGGCTGATCAGAATGAGGTACAAATAAATTCTGTGTGTGCATTGATTGATGAGCTGGATGCATTTGATGCAGGGGCAATTCACACCTGAACTCCCTTTAAACAGAGTATGACAGCTGAGGCAACAAAGCCACCATTCAGCCAGTTTGCCAACACGGCTACCCAGAGCACTGGGTGGGCTTCCCACATTGCTGAACTGCCCAGCACTGGGCAGGACACTTCTATGGGTACTTCCATCTCTGTCTTGCAGTCCAGGCTGAGCAGTGCCTTGCTGAGCACACCAGGATGAATTCTGGCCGAGAAACAGAGATCTGAAGCCATGCCCCTGCATGTGCTCTGGGTGAGTACTTGGTGCAGGACCTCAGTAATTCTGGATATTAGATAATTATGGATATCTGCTTCTGTTTTGGCAATCCTGAGGACTTATCCCTTGTGTAACTCTGGCAGTGCTGGAATCTGTTTCATCTTGCACAGCAGTGCACTTCCAGAGCCTGGGACACGAGTCTCCACAAAGAGAAGCAGGTTTTTAGTGGATCCTTTCTATGTCTCCTCTTTGTGATGGGAATTTTACCTAACCAGATGGGTGAGTGGCAGCACACGGTGTGACAAGGGCAAAGCCAAGCAACGTGTTGGTTGTCCTGTCAATAAACACATACAGACTGGCCACCTGGCTTCCACCTATGGCCCAAAGTGGCTGGATCCCTTTGGCAGAACCAGCTTGGTTCTTTTTCCTTTACCCAAAGAAGTGTTTTATCTTCGATATCTTCATCATCCAGTCAAATGTGATTAAAAATACTCTGTTTTTTCAAAAGAGAGAAGGAAAGAGAAATGTATGAGTGGGCAGATTGTGATCATCTAAACCTTATTTCCTTAGAAACCATAAGTAATCATGGACCTCCAGAATTCTGGAAAATATGAAAAACTCTCTGGAATGTTACAAATGGGAACATAGTATAAAGGGTAAAATATGTTCTAGTTTTATTATTTAGGTTCAGAGCAGTAGGGCTATGCAGCTAAATCTGGAATACATATGGGGAGGAGATTTGATTTTGGTGACTGGAAGCCAAAACATGGCCATTTCAAACCAAATTTCCTTCCTTCTGTACAGTTTTCTGAGGTAGGGTTTAATGTTTTCCCCGGAGAGAAAAATTAAATGTTTTCTTGAAGAGTATTTGTAAAACTGAAGTCTACATGCTTGTGACATCAAGTCACAAATGTAGTGCTATATTGCCCTGTGGGCATGGAAATTTCAAGCTCTTGAGTACACTATTATAATAAGTTTAAAATTCATTTTCTTGCAAACAGTGTAATTCCTGGAGACACTTTAGTTGTACATTGGTTTACAGATTGTTATCACAGTTGTGTAAAGAAAAGAAGAAAATATTTCTATTTCCAAACACCAGAATCAGGCTGACAGGCCTGTGCTCTCTTTGAGGGAGCAGCGGGGACTTCTGTTTTCCTCTGACTGTAAAACTGCTTTCCATCCCTTATGCAAAAGCATTAATCTTTGCTTAGAAACAAAGAAAAAATTCATTAAAATTCCTTGAGAATTTATCTCAGTATGCTTTCAAGTAACAGTTCTGAAATTATTTCACTAAAACAGGTTAAATTAAAAGAAAGATTTTACCTGGAAAAATAGCAATGACTTTTAGTCAGATACCCATGTCTGGCCTTGCTGTCACATTCAGGTTATGAGGCCATTGTCAGCATACTTGTCTGTTCCACGTATTTCAAGAAAACTGGGTTATAATAAATGGGGACAACTTGTGACAACATAATGTTTAGCTCACCAAAGCTATTTCTGCTTATTTGGGTTAGATGGTAGTGAATGGATTCCCCAGTTCATGTTTTTGCATCTTGAAAGCTCTGATTTCATTATGCTGGAGTAACTCCCCACAGACCAATATCTTGAATATCCCCTGTGAAGTTAATTTCATAGCTTTTCCTGGCACCTTGCTTCTGCATTTGCATCTGGGTTTATTTTGCCTTCACATAGTTATGAAAATTTCTATAATTTTTAATCTGCTTTTTTCCTTTTTAATGCTTTATTTTATTACTTCCTGGTCTTCCCAGTGAGTTGATGACTGATTTATCTTTTATCTGATATCCATTCATATGTCTGTGAATAACCCTGCTTCCTCTTGGTCTTTTCTGTCCATAAAAGCTTCTCCATATTTGAAGATGTTTGTTCTTAAACTCTTCCAAATTCAACAGTATTTTTTAAATTTGCCCCTATATTAATAAAGGAATAAAAAAAATCAAGGAAGATTGGAGATCGCTGTAGTGGCATAGTATATTTAACATGCTCTTTTTATTAACACTTCCCAACATAGTGCTTGATTTCTCTCTGACAGTCACAGTAACTTGAGTTTAGTGCATTAATAGTTTTAATCTTCCTCTCATTTAACTTGCTTATGTCCTTATAATGGTGATTTTGATTAAGTCTGGATCAATGTGAATAAATTTTCCTCATTTGATTCAAGTCATATTTATTTCTCTAAAATCCTGGGCTTCTGTGCAAAAAATCAGTAGTGAGTTTTAGCTATCTCTTTTGGCCCGTAAACAGACTTCAAATGCTAAGTTTTTGATGCTTATTTCAAGAAATACAATACATTTTAAAGGACTCAGTTCTTGAAAACTGTTAGAAAGTGCAAGCTATGAACGCCTGGCTTTGCTGACCTAAGGAGAGCTAGCTACACTGCTATGACGTGGTAGAAACATAAGCAAAGGTAGGGGAAACTGCTGGGATAGTGGGAAGAAGCTGGTAGCTGCTACCAGGAAGAAAATCACATGCAAAGACAGAAAAGCAGATCTAAGCTGGAACTAGCAGCAAGAGAAGTAGTTTTGTTGGAGCCGTGGCTGAAAGCTGAAACATTAGAGACTCCTCAGAACCTTTGACAGCAGTACGTGAACTCATAGGAACCTGCAGGACCTGGATAACACTTTGGACTGGATAACAGCAATTTATAACCTGAATTACTTACCCATGCTAATGAAGATGGAAATGAGCTTTCACATCCAACTCTTACAGGGTTCTACTGTATGTTCTTTAAAATGGATTTTCATTTTATCACCGATGGCAGGAAATTACCCAGCTCATAACTAGGATGGAATAAACCTACCTAATCCAGGTATGAAATGGCATTCTTTGAAAATAATGTTTTCCCCTAGCACTAAGTTTTTTGCAATCTGATTTATAGTACAGATTTCCTGCATGTCATTAACATAAAATGGATTGCTGAATAAATCTTCTGTTTAGGGCTTCTGCTAGACTAAAACCATCCACTTCAAGGATTGTCCATATCACATCAGTGAAAAAGATCTCATTACTTGTTTTAAAATTCTGAATTGGGACTGGCATTTTAGTCAGTCCCAAAATTTGTTCTGGTTCCTATGAGACAAATACTTAAAGGCTTGTCTTCATTTCCTTATCCTGGGTAGGATACTGGATATCCTGGGTGAGACTGGACTGGATAATAATGCATCAAAAAGACTGCTACAGGATTTCCTCAAGCAGATTTAAAGGTTCTTTCAAAACCTTCCACTATGGACAGTACCTTTTCCATTCTTGCCCCAAGTCTGCTTTTACAGCACAGCAACTGGTGTCTTACTGGTCTTCCAAAAATCAAATAAATGCTTCACACCTTTGCTTCAGCTTCATGCATCTCTACCCATTTCTTGCCTCTTGCTAAAACAAATAATTTGTGTTGTTATGAAAGTGCTCCTGCTCTAATTATGCATGCATGCTGATGATCATCTGTGATAAGATACTGTACAACTTTACAGTGCCACACACTAAACACAGCAGCATGCAGGAGCTCACATGATGGTCATTTAATATCCATGACTCACAGTCCACAGGACTAGGATTCCAGCCAGCTGGGATTTGTTCTAAGTGGCGTGAAATGACAAACAGTGCATGATATACAGCTCAGATACCAAACATGGTGGCCAAGCTTTTACAGAAACATGGCTCCTTGCCCTCTCCATTAAAAAAAAAAAAAAAAAAAAAAAAAAAAAAGAAAGAAAGGAAAATCATGCAATAGATTCACCCAATAACTACTGAATATTATTTTTCAAAATCTTATGAAAAATTAAGTGCCAAGATAAAGAGCATGGTATCTTGGCCTTTCTAGGTGGTTTCTGCACCCTCCCTGGTCTCTGGCTGTTTTCCCTTTGTTTAATTTTTCACTTTGAGTTTTATCAGTTTTGGAAACTGATAACTCCTCTAACTGTGCTTGTGATATCTCTCCCTGATTTTTGTATGTAAAACTGCAACTTATTTTCCCTGGCTTGATATTCAGCTGGGATGTTTTACAGTTGCAGAGTGCATGAGGGATTAGATGCTACTCTGTGATTCACCCAGTCCCTGAGGACAGCTATATAAAGATCATCCTCTTCCCCTTGGCCCCAGGGAAGCTAGGGGGCAGATTACGAACTAGCTGAAAAGACGAACACGTAAAGGAAAAAAAACTCACCGTCTGCAAAGAGGCTCCTGGAGCACACATTCCCCTGCTCTCACATTGTACAGAACTGGGAAAAAGTGCACTCCACTGCTCGCCTGCAGTTGGCATAGCCACAGACGGGCAGGGAGAACAAAGCCACTAAAAGTTCTCTTTCCCACATTGGGACTGCTGCTTTCACAGAAGTTTCTCAAGGTTCCTTTTCCAAGGAGAAGAAGATGATGGGAAAGGCAGGACCCAGAGACCCTGCTGTTTACAGATACTTTTTCCCTATGGCCTGGGAATCCTGAAATGTGATTGCCTTGTATGGGCAGGTTATTTTCAGCCACTCCCTTCATTATGTTCCAGTTAAACCCATGGCTCAAGTGGGGATTCTGTGCTGGAGAGATTTTGCACTGGCTCTCTGCCCGGGGATAGATTGCAGCAAGGGTAGACTCTTGACAGAAATAGGTGGATATGTGTGTAGACCTCCAAGTCTTGAAACAAGAATATCACTGCTAGAGGTCAAGGCTTGGCTTGCCAGTATTTCCCTCCTTTACTGAAGGCAGTTGATGCTCCCTTACCAGTGCTGGCTATTTTTGTTTGTAACAGTGTCACAGTGGTGGGGATTTTCTCATTTCAGACCATGTCACAGAAGTGACACAGCTTGGGATACTTTTGCCTCTGAGGCTTCATTAAGAAGTGCAAACTCTGCACTTTTATGCTGCAATTTCTTCTAGGTTACTTGTTTACAAGTAAGAAGTACCTCAATTTTTATAAAATATTTAATTGTATTTTTATGTGCTTTATCTGAGGCTTTAATATTTTAAAACTGTTATATTTTCCTCTGGAAACACTTGTCTTTCCTAATTTCTCAGAAAAAAATTTTGAAAAAAAAAAAAAGTCAAGATTATTGGGTTGCAGGGTTTTTTTGTCTTTTTTTAGCGGATATACAAAAGTTTTAGACGGCTTTTCAAAACACTCGGAATTATGGATTTAAATCCAAAAATTTCATATCTGGTCCTTTTCCATGGTTTTTATCGAAGAATCAAGATACGATTTGAAAAAAATGGAAGAAAGAAGGAACCTGAAGGCTGACAGCTATGACAACACCTGCCTCAGCTTTCTGAGTTCTGCATGGCACATTTAGTTATATTTATCCTTCTATTTTTGCATCACCATTTTGTCCCGCATCTCTCACATGCAGCAGGGTTTTGCTGCTTCAAAGTCTTTGTCAACTGTAAAGTCACTGTTCCATGTAGCTCGTTTAACATGAAAAGCCTTTCCAAAATGGGGGTTTGGCCTTTTTACAACTGGAGCAGTGTACTTTATTTTTTTTTTTTTCTATTTTTAATTAAGAATTTTGCTGCAGCACTATCTGGTATTACCATTGGATTTCCTAAAGCTTCACTGCCTTATCTTTTGTTTTTAATGTTCATTACATTCAAATGTTTTTTGTTTTAAAATATGTGTTGCTATTCATGTTACTGAGAGCAAATCCAAAGTGCCCTGTACAAGACGGTAATGAGATTGGTGATGATTCCCCGTTCCTCGGGGAATTATTTCAGCCTTAGATGGCACTTTGGGAATGCTCTGTCCTTGCACAAGAAATCTTCCCTTAGTTATAAGTAGATACTTAATACAGGGCAAGATTAAAATCCTTGACAAAGGTTGTAATGACTTCACTGGGTCAAGGATTTTACCACAGGATAGTGAAACAAAGAAATGAACAGAAATGAACAATGTAAGACACTGACTCCCTTGTGAAGGAAGATCACTTTTGGCATGGGTCTTGGACCTCAACCAAGCACTTTGTCTTCTGAAGTGAGAGTTGTAGCATGCATGAAAATGAATCCGTACCGTGCTACCTGTTGGACTGTTTGGATTGGTTTGTATTTTCTGGGCAATAATATACAAGGAAGAGAGGGGTGAGTCTGTGATCATTTCTCCTCTCTTAGCAGGTGACATTGGTAAGATGTGTTTAAAAATTTGTCAGTCTGGCCTCAATTTCTTTACTGACAGGCAGTCTAAGCTATGTTTGTTACAGATTGCTGGGCACTGAATCATTAGATATTTATCAGAACGCTGCAGTCACCTTTTGACAATAACTGTTGCTTTCCACCAGTTTCCATTGAGTTTTGGGCTATTCAAGAAACCATCTTGTGTCAGTTAGGCTCTGGAAGCTACTGATGTTTTCTGGTACAAATATAGGAACAATGGACATGATTATAATTTTCAATAAAATGTTGGATTACAAAGAACCTAACAGACTAAGGCATTTTGCAGAAGTGTTATCTTAACTCCTTAATGTCATATAATTGGGAGCGAAATGAATAAAATTAAAAAAAGATTAAAAATTAAAAAGAAAATAAAAGAAAAGAGGAGCTGCTTGGGTTTGGAATATTAATTTTTCTCTACCTAGCTCTATGGTTTATTTTTCCAAGGAGGAAAACATTTTAATTTGCAGTGTGTTGATTGGGGGGAAAAATGGTATTCAAAGCCTTATCCTCCATATTTCAAGGCTGGCAGTGCTTTCTTACTCAGTCTTCTGGTACGCTACCTCCCACAGCCCTGCAGATAAAAGCCTGAAACAAAGCACCTTGCTAATCTAATTCCCAACACTATCCCTCTCTGTGCATCAACTACTTGCCCAGTGTTCCTTCTTTCTACTGCCCTGCACAATTTCTTCTATCCTGTGAGAGGAGTACATGCAATTGTGTAGGTCTAGTTGATGTATGTTTCAGTTTGCTTTGCTTTATGGTTTGGGTGTGCTCACTCTTGTTTGTCACCATCTCCCTAGTCTGGTTCTCTGACCAGAGGCCATTGTTAGAAGTTCATGTCTACAAGGACATACTGGTTCCTGGTATTGGTAAAGTCAGGATCAGAAGATGTTCTGAGCACGTGCTTTGGAGAAGACATACGAAACTGCAGTGAAGTTGAAGGATCTGTTTCACATAACAAAATGTCAAAAGAGTCTGAAAGGCTTTTAAATGGGAAGTATTGTAGGAAACCACCTTCTTGTAGAAGAATGCCCCAATACAACTTGCTATCTTTTGCATCTTTATTTTAGCAGACAGAATGAAAAGAAGACAGATCTATTGTCTGCAGGAATCAAATTGTAGAATTCAGTGTCTCACTCCACTTGGACCTTGAAGATCTTAAAAAATAATTTAAGGCAAAAAGAAGGGAAAACTCATGATGCTGAGAGACATAAAATATTACAGTTTTGTAGATCAAATTTCTAGATGGAATCAGATTGATTTGTGTAGATGAATTTTCCAGGAAGGGAAATGAATGAAGAAATACCCAGCTTCAGAGATGGGATGAGGATGGGTGGGAGCTCATTTCACATTAAGTTCTGTATGTCCGTGTGAATGCTGGTTACAGTGACATAAGTGGTGGCACTAACTTTTTTGGGAGGTGGGAGATGGCACAGGGCCAGGCAATGCAAACAGCTTCAGCAGAACACTTCCAGGAGAAGAGAAAGTGACTGGTAGAAAACTCCTCTGTTGTCAGTCTGTGACCCGTGAAGACTGATAAACTTCTCTGCAGCTCTGTCCTGGTCTTTTCAGTGAAGAACCTTGCTTGCTTTCTCATAGTGGCAAAAGTAATTAAAAAAGGAATCAACTTCAGAGGAACATAAACCAAAAGTCTGTCTCTTTAATGATATCCCCTCCATACTTCACTACCAGGCATTCTGCTAATACCTGCTAATTCTATTCCTAATCAGGTCTATAGCTCACTAAAGGCTGTTTTATATCTAACATAGGTACATTTAATTGTTTTAATCCTTGTCTGAGAAAAGAGTCTGGGGCTATGGAAAGAGATTTTAGAAGAGACAGAAAGACATAGCACACAAGATACTGGAAGTTCAGTAGTTTTTTATCTTTGCTCTAAACCACCATGGAAGATGCCTGGAACTACACTACTTTGAACAGCAGTGGATTTTATAGAGACAAAGTTCAACATAGTCATAAGTATATTAACTTTCATTGTAGCTGTGTTTCCTGCAGTGTTTGAAAACTCAGAAAATTAGGGTCACTATGGTGTTGGCAGGATGGAATTATTAATCATTCTCACTTCCCAGTGCCCATCATGACTGAAACGAGGCAAAGAGAGCACCTGGCTGCTGGGGAGAGACAACCTCTGAAAAGCAGCTATATATGTATCTGTATGTATTGCCTCTTTTGAGGGCAAATGTACCTCTTTCAAATTTAGGCTGAAGTTTTTCAATTAAATAGGGTTCGATCAATTAATATTTAGTTGAAGGTATTTTACAAGCATTTTTCATTACTTTGTAATACAGGTGTCCCGTAGAATTCCTGTCTGAGTTGCTGGATTCCTGGCAAAGGAGGTCACTCATCACTCTGGTTTAAGGGAGATCCAAGTGGCATATTGCCAGATTTTGGGTTCCTCAGTGGAGTCTGAGGTTTCCCAAAACTGTAAATCTAAAGGCTCTTGGAGGAAAGAGGCTCTGAAAGCTGCAAGGTTCCCCATCACAGAAGGTCCTGCAAATCCTGGAGCTGGCTTCCAAGGACTGTAGCTGGAGCACATCCATGTAGTTATCACAGTATCATGA